TTGCTGGGCAGGGGAAGGGTTCATCCTGCCCTGTTCTACCTGGGACTGGGAGGATCGTCCCCTTCTCCAGGCTGCAGGACGTGCGTGACTGCTGCGGAGCTCGCACTCGCTGCTCATGAATATTTCCCTGGAAAATGCTCCACTCTTCAAGTGCACTGCAAACGCATCCTGTGTTCTGAAGACTCTTTAAATTATTAGTCTAGCTCAGCTTCTCTTGGGAGGAGCTCCACTCAAAAGCCTGCAGTTAAATGTAAAAGCAAGTCTCTTTCAAATCTCTTTCAAATCCCAGAATCATTTGGGTTGGAAAAGATCTCCAAGGCCATGGAGTCCGGGCTGTGCCTGATCCCCTCCTTGTCCCCAATCCAGCTCTGAGTGCCACCTCCAGGGATGGGCACTCCAAATCTCCCTGGGCAGCTCCTGCCAAGGCCTGAGCCCCCTTTCCATGGGGAAATTCCTGCTGTGCCCACCCTGAGCTGCCCTGGCCCAGCCTGAGGCCGTGCCCTGGCTGTCCCCTCCTGTCAGGAGCTCTGCAGAGCCCCAAGGTCCCTCCTGATCCCCCTTTTCTCCAGGCTCAGCCCCTTCCCAGCTCCCTTATCCATTTCTCCTAGGATTTACTGTCTCCTTTATGCCACTGTGGGAACAGGAGTTTGATGCTGAACAAAAATTCATTGAGCATCTGGCAGTGGTGCCCATGAAGGAAAAAAAATCCATTGTATATTTGTGAATAAACTCTTGGTTTAGGATCTTGATGAGTTCAGGAACAGGCAAGGAGACAATGTAGGGGGTTGTGGCCGTAAAGGCAATTTTCCTTCTCAGGGAAGGTGGTCTTTAAGGAAGGTAATCTTAAATGAGATCTTTAGGGTTCCTTCCACCCCAAACCATGCTGTGGTTCTGTGACTCCTTGTCAGGTTGTTGTGGTTATTGCTGGGAAGAGCCAGGGCTGGAAATGTGAGCTGCCCAAGCTGGATTTCATGGGCAGGGTGTATATTTAGCTCAGGGTTCAGCAGCCTTTGGGCACCCGACACCCTGGGACTGCTCTGCCTGAGGAATGTTGGAGCTGGGATGGGCAACGCCCCTCTTGGCTCTGCTCTGAGTGATCTCCATGTGTGTGTGTGCTGGAGACAGGAGCTATTTAGAGGGAGCTGTTTATCCACAGCTTTGGGCAGCAGGCCTGAAGGGTGAGAGAACAGGAAGCTCCAAGGCTGAGGGGCTTTCTCCTGCAAGGCACAGAAACACTCCTGAGTTTGGGCTGGGAAAACACAGAGTGCTGCTTGCACAGGGGATTTAAGGGAGCTGATAAGGGCTGCTGGGGTGGGGAATGACACATTCTGTATTTGTTATATCCTCAGTGGCTCTGGAGTGCATTCCACCTGGCTGGCTCAGTGATGGTCCAGAGCACTGCCCTGCTCCTGTCTGTGCCATCCTGAGCAGGGACAGGGACAGTCCTGGGCTCTGGAACTGGACCCTGTCCAGTGGAGATCCTGTTGGGGGCTGCTGCCCCTCACCCTTGTTGGGTGGCTGACCAGGATGGGCTCAGGGCTTTTCCCCAGGAGCAGCCAGAGCTGGGAGTTATCCTGCAAAGGGCTGGTAAACTGCTAGGGATGAGCAGGTGCTACTAAAAGCAGTAAGAACCATCAAAATCACAAAACCCTGAAGGGAATTGTTAATGTTTGCCCTGAAATGTGGATATGCTTTTGGAACTCCCTGGAATAAGCAGTGTGTTAGGGATGGGGTGTGCTTGGTGAGCTCCTGAGTGGGAACCTGGGGTGCTCAGTGTGTTAATGGGATGCAGGGGTGCAGTTTTTGCTAATGGGATTGCAGGGGTGCAGTGTTTCTGGGAGGGGAATCTCTGAAGTTGGAATGCTGTGTACGAACAGGATGGGGAGCAGAGGAGCTGAGGAACAAGAACTACTGGTGCGGGATGTGGAACTGGATCTCAGAGGGAGCAGTGTGCAGGCCAGGCAGTGCCTGTTCCTGATAGTGCAGGCAGGCACTGGGCAGTGCCATTCCTGGGATCCCTGCTCTGCCTTGGGGCTGCTTTTCCATGGCAGCTCTGGGGAAACTGTGCTGGGAGG